TTCTGGTACAGCCACACTAAGCTGGATGGTATGAGTCTCCCTTCCCTCCTTGAGACTTTCTCCAGCTTGCCTTGGTGCTAAGAGGCAGAAAGGTAAGTGAAGCCTTTAGCTTCAGTAGCAGTCCTGGGTGTTGTGGGGACTGTGCATGAAGGTACATGGCTAGAAGGGGAACTTATAGTCATTGCCTGGTGGTTTCCATAGACCTCAGCCAATCTCTACACTCTCCTTCAATTTCTTCGGTTCCCATCGTGTGTCCAACCCTTGGCCACCCAGCCGTTTCTACAAAGCATGCATATGAACAGAAGAGATCCCCTGGCTGTTTCCACTGCCCTCAAGGGAGTGGCCTAATAAGTTTATGTACAGATCTTGTCTTCTACACTAGGAAGTCTGCTTAACTCCCCCTGCTTAGCACAAATAACCTTACAAGTTTGTAGAGGAGACACAGCATCTACAAATCGGCTAGCTCACCACCTTCCTCCTCAATGATCAAGACAAAGGAAGCCATCCAACCATAACACACATATATGCCAAGTCACATGACCTTGGGAGCAAAACTAGAATGACAAGGCCTCCCTCTTTCCTTTCTGCCACCGCCACGCCATCCAGACTGAGGAAGGCCGGGAAAATTCGGGACCATGTGAGCCATGACCACTGCCGCATCAGTAAACATGACAGGCATCCAGGAGGCTGCGGGAATGCTGGTTACATGCATCACCACAGGGTCAACTTTGACAAATATCATCCAGGTTATCTTGGGAAAGTTGGTACAAAGCATTACCACTTAAAGAGGAACCAGAGCTTCTGCCTGATTGTCTCCCTGGATAACTTGTGGACACTGGTCAGTGAGCAGACACAGGTCAAAGCTGCAAAGAACAAGACTGGAGTTGCTCCCATGGTTAACATTGTGTAATCAGGCTACTGCAAAGTTCTGGGGAAGGGTAAACTCCCTAAGCAGCCTGTCATGGTGAAAGCCAAATTATTCCACAGAAGCGCTGAAGAGAAGATAAAGGGTGTTGAAGGTACTTGTGTCCTGGTGGCTTGAAGCCACCTAGGGAGGCTAATTAAATGCTAACATTTAAAAAAGAATTTAAAAAAAAAAAACACTAGAATGGCAAAAACAACCACACACAGTATGCCCAATGGCAGACAATGGGGGAAGGCAGAAAGCTCAGAGTTCAGCTTAATCCACCTATAAAACAAGCTGAAACCCACAGCAGCCAATATGTAAATTTCAGTGGCCTAGCCCCTCTGAGGTTAGCAAACCCTGCCCCGGTTGCTGTTTTCTCTCTCATGAGAAGTAAAATGGCTGTAGCCATTCTGTAGGACTCCTGAAAAGAAAAGACACATCTGCATTTTCCAGACTGAGACAAGAGTTTTGGGTCATGTTGATGGCAAGCATACATGCGCATGGCAGGAAAAGACTTGATGTGTGCCCACATGCCTTTCTCCAGGGACAGGCAGAGACAGGCTCCTCATTCTCAAGTGACCTCTTTTGTCTCCCTTCTTCCTGGTCAAGGGGACCAGTTCGCCTCGTATGCTGTGAATTTACTATCTAAAGCCAAGTCCATCTGGAACATGAAGAATTGCCTATCTAGGACTCTATCATGACTGATAAACTTAAAAGGAAATAGTGAACCAGAGACTTCAGGACGGATATTCCGAGCCAGGTAGGGAAGCCAACACCCCTCAAACCTGCAGAGAACAAAACTGTTTGTTTCTGACATGTTGTGTAATCTTCTGTGTTACTAATATGAAAAGAACCTCCCTTAAAAGATTGATTAAGGGTGGGGAAATTATAACAGCAAAAACAAAACAAGTTTCTGGAATTGTTATATCTGAGGAGTGTCGCCAACATAACTTGTAAACTGTGTTTAGGATAATTTATAGATGTGGTTTTGTGCTTGATGGCCCCCTTCCCCTCTCCCCTTTCTCCCAGCTCCCTTTCTTTCCACAAACGGGTTCAAAATTATTCTGAGAGGGGTTTTGTTGTTGTTGTTGTAGTCATTGTTGTTGTTGTTTGTTTTTTTGGCTGTCCTGAAGGTGAAGGGGGAAGCAGCATTAAGGATGAGTTTATCGGAAGACTCCCCCAGAATTCAGTTCCCATATTCTCATGCATTAAGTCCAGGAACCACCTAGGTTGTCATAGGAATACTTAGCCTTTCCTCAGTAGATCAACTAACACCCAACATGGACACTCTATAGAATCACAGATCCCGGCAGAGCCTCATAAATGCGCCTGAGACACTCTCTGCCTGCAAATAATCCATATTAAGCATTTCAACCACTTCTCAGCGATCCATTTTTACTAGAACAGAGATCCCAGCCACATACCCTTCAGTTACCACTGTGTGGCCAAACACAGCTTCATAAAGATTATCTGTTGCTGCAGCCATGCACTGTTCAAACTAAATCTTGTCTCCACAGAACTGTGTCTCTTTACTGCCAACTCATCCAGTACTCCTATGTTACAGTCTCCAACTCTATATTTGGTAAAAATTATCTCCTACACAGAACTAGAAAGGCTCTTACCATTTTTGGACTCTGTTTAAAGATATTTTTAAAAATTAATTGAGAAAAAGAAAAAAGGGCAATCTTAGAATTTACATTCCCACACACACACACTGGCACAGTCTTCGCTGTTTCTGATAACTATAAAATGAATGTAGGAAATGAACTATTATAAAATGAGTGACTGTAACAGTCAAGTAGCATGCACTATAAAGGCACATATACAATAGACAGGAGAATAGAATGTGTCATTAGTTCTCCTAAGCAGACCCAGGAGAAACTGCTGACCGCAGCATGTGTAGCCTTCTAGAAGCCTGTACTTGGGGATCCATTTTGAAAGGGTCATGATGTCATAGCATACCTAGTATCCACTGCCCAATATTTTCATAAAAATATCCAGAAAACCTATTTTTCCTTTTATCAGCTGATTTGTGTTCATTGTGCTCTACAAAATTAGCTTAACCAAGCTCCTATTGACGGATATTTAGTATTTGGGTCTTTTTTCACCTTTTAAATGACAATACAATCTGTATAGACATCTAGACACTTAGCCACTCATTTCCCGCCCCAGGATGGCCTGAGGAGTTTTCCTTCCTCCACTCTGGCATTCTCTCACACACGAGCTGTTTCTCTCGGGTGACTGTGTTACTGGTGTCCACCCTGCAGTAAGAGCGCTAAGAATATGAGCAGCAGACTTAGTCCAAGCTCTGACCTGTAATGCTAGAAGACTGACCATATCAACTTCTAGTTCAGAGAGGCTTATGGATATCTAAATATAATGAGCCACATATGGCACCTGGCAATTTATAAGTTCTCAACGAATGTCAGCCTTTAAGCTGCTACCGCTTCTGTAACTGCAGAGAAAATCACTCTCCGTTCTCTTCAGGCTGCATGTTGGCAGACTTCATCAACTATTTTACACACTTGATCTCTAGTGACAATTTCTATCCTCTCTCTACTTCCAACGTGACTCTTCTCTTTCTCCAGCTTCTAGTGAAACACATTGTAGAATCTGCCATTCCAGATTAGCAAAACTCTCAGTACCAGAAACAACCTGGCCTCTCTAATCTGGTTACAGTTGTAATTTCTCTAGGAAAGTCGACTGTTGCAGTAGTCAGTACGAACCTTTCATCTATATTGTAGATTACTCTCACTGATTGTATTATTAACTTTTCAATTGCTGTTATTTTATTTGTTCTGCAAATGTCTGATGAGTGCTTGTCAATTAAATATAGTAGACCATAGCTCCCAAATATCTGGCTAATACAACAGCAAACAGCTTACCATCTAGGAGGGAAGAGAGAATCCAACAGCAGTAAAAAGCAATTAAGTTCCATAAGCCTAATGACCTGTCTGTAAAGCCATCTCACTAATAGAGTCTCTTGAGCTGCATCTTGAATGACAGCTGTTTCTGAGCTATGCTAGGGAGAGTGCTCAGAAGAAGATGCTTTCAAATTGCAGGAGGCCATGGGAGAACTATAAGGAGTTTAGAGTGATAGGAAGAGCATGGGAATGGATGGTTACCAGAGAAACAAGACGGTAGTAAATGAAAGTGGTACTCAAAGCAAGTTCTTCAGTGTCTTTAATTGGTTGCTATGGAGACGCTAACTTCGAAGGCAGTGTAAACTTGGCTGATCTCAGTGACACATGAGTTCTACCTGCCCTATAACAACAGACCAATCCATGAGTAAAAGTTTTTCTCCTTTATTGATGGTTGCTGCCGCCTCATCTGTCACCCATAACTCAATTCCAAAGTGCATTCAAAATATGAACCTTGATTTATATTATATGTGTGTCTAGTGTACCTTTTATGAAATAGCATTAAAGCAAAGAAGTTCAAATAGAAAGTCAGTCTTAATTATTTTTAACTGAGAGATGCTACTGAGCTCTAACTTAATAACCAAGTTTATAATTCACAGAAATCCCCATACCCACTCGCCCCTGGAAACGTTATAAAGAAATGGCTATTCTTTATTTGGTTTTCCTTTTTTAATTATTTTATTTATGTGTGAGTGCCATGTGTTTGTGGTACAGTGGCCAAAAGCTAGTATCAGATTCCGTGGAGCTGGAGTTACAGGCAGTTGTGAGTTGCTTAATATATGGGTGCTGGGAACCAAGGTCCTATGGAAGAACAGCAAGTGCTGTTATCTGCTGAGCCATCTCCCAGCCCCTGTTTTTCTTTATTTTTAACTGAATGAATAATAAGCAGTCCTGTGTGGTAGGCTGCTAAAGAGAGAGAGATACTGTATAATAGTATATATATATATATATATATATACACACACACACACACACACACACACAATAAAATAAATTATCTCCTACAAATTTAAGTCTAGTCTATGAAAATAAGCATTTCTCTGAGAGAAGCCTGAGAGCTTCCACGCATGCTTGGAGAAGGGGTTAAGCTTTAGCAGCTGCCCTACAGCTCTGTTCCTCTTCGGTACGGAGGGTTTTTGTACAGCCAGACAATGAAGCACTACCACTGTGGTGGACGTTCGGAGCCGGGACCAAGCTGGAAATCAAACGTAAGTAGAATCCAAACTCTCTTTCCTTCGTTGTCTGTGTCTCATGGTCTCTGTGTCTAAAAGTAATGTGCAAAATCTGACCTAGAAACCGATTCTGGCATTCTCCAGGGCAAAGATAAATAATTCTGTAAGCAAAGCTGAGAATAGATTGTACATGTTCTCTGAAGAGCAAGTGTCAGTGTAGTAATTAAGACAAAAGATAGTTCCAGGCGAGGCCCTGCTCAGTAGTCAGAAGGCAATACTCAGTTTTTGTATGGGGGGAAAGGGAAGGGGAATCAGTGTGTATACACGTTCGGAGCCGGGACCAAGCTCGAAATCAAACGTAAGTGTTTTTCTCAACTGCTTCTTCTCTGTCTAACCAGGTTACTCTGTTCTTCTTTGTGTGTTTTCTTTAATGGGATTTCGGGGATTGTAACAAACTCCATTCTCAGATTAGGTGTTAAGGAGGGAAAATTGCTCCACAGGAGGCTGGCTAGTCACTAAATGTTGGCTTTCTAAACCAACATAATTAAACTGGGGAAAGAGGGATACTTACTTGTTCATCAGGGAGGATTTTGTAGAGGGAGAAAGTTAAAGTCTGTCACTGTGAGACACGTTCGGTGGAGGGACCAAATTGGAAATCAAACGTAAGTATATTTTTGCTCAACTGTTTGCGAACTTTGAGTCCCATTGTGTCTTTTGTGCAAGTTGTGATGTTTTTGGTTAAATGAACTGTTCTTGGTAACCCAAAAGTTAAATAGAACAGCACCAGAATTCAGTCAATGTAGAAGACAGACAGACTGACTTCAAATCAGTTTTGTGAGAAAAAGTAGGATTTGTGAAAGAGATAGGAAAGAAATAGTATTTCTCTGAATCTGGCAAACCTAACTGGACTGGCTTGAGAGGCAGATTTTGGCAGAGGGGGGCATTGACATGAATCACTGTGATTCACGTTCGGCGGAGGGACCAAGCTGGAAATCAAACGTAAGTAGATTTTTGCTCAATTAGTTGTGGAATTTTAGTTCTGTTGCGTCATTTCTGTTAGTTTGTGATACTTTGGCTAAATGGGTCCTTCCTGGTGACCCATATACATCCATAGAAGAGTCCCAGAAAATAGCCAGTGCGGCAGCTGAGCAAAGAAATCATGCTAGATGTGTGAGAGCAGCTTTGTGAGGGGAATGGAGAAGAAAGAGTCAGGTTTTTCCTCTGAATTGGCCAATCCAGCTGGCCTGGCTTCAGGGGCAGGTTTTTGTTGGGGGGAACATGTCAGAGTCCTCACTGTGGCTCACGTTCGGAGCCGGCACCAAGCTGGAAATCAAACGTAAGTGCATTTTTCTCTTCTTTCTTCTGTGTGTAAAATCTTTGTGTTAGGAGTTAAAGTCAGTTCCAGAAATTAGCTGAGAGGCAGAAAATCTGTTGATCTTGAGAAAGTGGAAAGTAGTTGGCATGGCATACAATGTCAGATTTTCTGTTTATCAGCTATTGAGATTAGGGGCAAAGAAAAAAGAGGCTTTAGTTGGGGAGAAGTTAGTTAATACTGTGGTCACTGTCCAGAGACTAGATGGAGTTTAAGTAGTTATTGTCTATTGCCGTCTGAGATCGGGGTCTAACTACGTGTTGACTTCTAGAAGCTTAAGTGGGAGATTTGGGGAGATGGGAGTGGGGGCACTTCAGGATGGACAAGAGCTAAAGTCGGTTCAGCTCTAAACATGGACGTGGAAGCCAAGCTTCTCACTGAGATAAGCTGAATGACTCAAGGGGAAAAAACTACAGATAAAAGGGGGACTTGGAGCTCTGAGAACAGACGTAAATTCGTTTGCGTTGAGTTTTACATTAAATGTGGTATAGTGCAGTTGAGTGAGGGGCCTTAGGCTGTTTTCCCTCTTTTGTCTCATAGTTTTTTGTCACTACAAAAATCAGTACCATGCCCTGAAGTAAAAATCAGTAAAATGTTTAAAAGTATGCCTGCTTGACAGGTAGAAAAGATGGCGTGCTGAATAATCAGAGGAAATGTGATTCTTAGAGTCTAAAATGTGTCACAAACTGTGAAAATGAGAAACTATAGGAACAAGGTTTTGGCAGATAGCTCTTTTTTTGTCTCATTTCTACATGAATGTAAATTATAATAATAGAAATAAAGTTTTGTCCAAATGCTCAAAAAGTAAGTTAGGCTTTTTTAATGGCCAAGATTTTGCAAGATATATGGCCCTTTGTTTTCCCCCATAATTACTTGATCGTATTTTTCTACCGCCAAAAAAACGGTCCGGTCCGCAGCCGCCTCTTTATGACTGAATGACTTCGCGGCCATGCCGCTAAGGGCTACACGAACCCCGCGGTAGCGACCTTCGCTCCGTGCAGTTCATTTTTCTGAGGCACAGTGATAAAAGCAGCGCCATTAATGGAAAGAGAATACAGATGGGATAGATAGTTCACTAACGTGGGGAAAAGGTGACTAACTGGAGATTTCAGAAATAAAATGCATTTATCATTACATTCCCTTACTTTCCCACTAAGGGATTGTAAAAGGCCAAAAAATTCCCGTGTTATATTAAGATCTTAGTGCATATAATTCTTTACAGGTAAAATCAGTACCAGAGAAACTGAATTAACACTCATATGTCATGATAAATCTACTTTGACTGAGATCCCACTAAATTTCATTAAAACTATATGGCATATTACTAGTTAAAATAAGTTAAATTTGTGACACAAATTTTAACTGGTTAGGTAGGCTAATTTTCTTTGTACAAAAATATGACTAATAAAAATTTAGAATAAACATATTTTCCAGTACTTTAATTCAGTGATAGAAAAATTTTTAACCTGGTTATTTTAATTCCATAACCTCTAGAATTGTTTACTAATTTGTTTTTGTGGTTGAGCCTTCTGCAGTGAACCACAACTATTTAAGGATCTTTTGAAACTCTTAAAACTGTTTTAGAGTCACTTAAATTACTTAACCAATTTTAATTACTTTAAAATGATGTCAACTCCTTTTAAAACTGCAGTTTAGTTGAAGGGGAAGCAAAGCTGCTCATAATTCTGTTGTTTTTCTTGGCAAAGGGGCTCTCAGTTTGTGTTTTTACTATTACTCTGTCACCTAAGGGTTGGCATCCCCAACAGAGGGGGATTTCCGAGAAGCCATCTGGCAGCTGCTGAAGGTCAAAAATGAAGCCAGACAGTTTCTCTGAGGCAGGTGGCAAAGATTACAGTTGACCTCTTCTAGTGTGGCTAAAATTCCCCCATGTGGTTTCAGGCCCTCAGACCAGGGCCCAGGTCTCACCTGGACGCCTTGGTGAGACCTGAGAGAGAGTTGGTAGACATCCACCCAAACACAGACCCTGGCTCAAGGCCCCATCCTTAGGGTGGGTCTCTAGTTTGGCCACACCAAAAGAAGCCATAGAGTGGTTGAAATCTGAATATTCTTTAAAGAGGCAGGAGAAAATTAAAGCCAAACTTCTGCTCCTGCCTTAGGCACTTGTGTGTTCAGACTCCCAAACACCAGGGATGTCAGATAAACTGGCCTGTTCTTCTCTCTCTCTCTCTCTCTCTCTCTCTCTCTCTCTCTCTCTCTGTCTCTCTCTCTCTGTCTCTCTCTCTCTCTCTCTCTCTCTCTCTCTCTCTCTCTCTCTCTCTCTCTGAAGCATGGAACCACTGCAGCTGATGGGGAACAGTCTCAGGGAAGACAGGTATAGAAGGAAGTCTGGGAATAGCTTCAAGGGGTCAGACACAATTAACTTTCCAACGAAGTATCCAGGAGCTAGAGAATAACTCAAATCCAACAAGATTACTGGCCTCATTCTCCTATTCTGAAGAATAAATGTGCTTTTCTGTGTGTCTGTCTACAATTTGACTGTCCACATACAATGCACACAAAGAGAAACCTTCCCTGTTGCTTCATACATGCTATGTGTTTCCTTCCTCAGGGGCTGATGCTAAGCCAACTGTCTCCATCTTCCCACCATCCAAAGAACAGTTACAGACTGGAAGCGCCTCAATCGTGTGCTTCCTGAACAACTTCTACCCCAAAGACATCAGTGTCAAGTGGAAAGCAGATGGCAGTGAGAAACAAGGCTCTCTCAACAGTTTGACTGAGCAGGACAGCAAAGACAACACCTACAGCATGAGCAGCACCCTGACGTTGTCCAAATCAGAGTATGATAGCCATAGCGTGTATACCTGCGAGGCTGTTCATAAGACGTCTTCTTCACCCATCGTCTCGAGCTTCAACAAGAACCAGTGTTAGAGCCCGAGGTCCTGACGCACCACCACCTGCTCCCGAGGGCCATCCTCAATCTTCCCTCCTAAGGTCTCAGAGCTGTCTCCACAGCTGACCTTACCGATGTTGCAGTACTCCAAACCCTCTCCCCACCCCATCCCCCTCCCTTTCCCTGGCTTTTATCATGCTGATATTTGGGGAAGATATTGAATAAAGTGAATCTTTGCACTTGAGATCTTTGTCTCCTTTCGTTGTTTTTGTAGTTACCTGGTTTCTCTTCTAAAGAAGTTAAATATTTCATTGCCCTGAAATCCATGACACTTAAAAAACAAGAAAAAATCCTCCACCTGCCCTCCGTGACTGTCCCCTACATGGCAGCCCTCTCTAAGATTCACATCTCACCCCTTGCCACGGTGGGTTGGAGGAGGCTTGCTTCCTAGTTTTCCTCTCCTAAGTCCTCAAAGTCCAGAAGGGGACAGTTCTCACAAGCACATATTCTGTGAACTGATTCAGCCCACCCTGAAAACTGGGCAAAGCAATGGAGAGTTTTTACCACGGGAAGCAGAGAGAACATAAATGAACAAGCAATAGGGAGAGGTTTATGCTCATCATAGCACCTGAGCTTCATCTGCTCTTCATTGTCTTTTTAAACATGGATTGACTCCTATCTCCCATTGGTAATGCTGGACACTGTCCACAAGATTAAACATATTCATCAAAATTATGGAAATGTTCCATAAAGCTGAGAGGTGATCTTTGTTATTTCTGGCCATAATCCACTTTTACATGCCTGTCTCTGTACACCAGAAACCTTAAGCAGCAACCAATGCTTAAGGAGTAAATGAGTTCAGAGACTCATTTATGAAAGCCTAAAACTTGAACAACCAACATAAATTTTGGTATGTTCACAATTGAGCTACTACTCAATAAAGAGAATTAATGAAGTACAGCTAAAGCAACAACATAGGTTAGTCTCATAAACATGTTAGTAAGCAAAAAAAAGGAAGAGGCATTTGGGTATTTTTCATCCATTTAAGTTTAAAACTAGGTAAAAACAAAATTAAAAATTGGGAGACACATTACTGGAGGTGGGATAAGTTATGACACAGCAAGAAGGGAACCCTGGGGATGCGGGGGGGGGGGGGGGCGTGCTCTGTTTCTCAGTGTGGGCTGCCACTTTGTGAAAATCCATATTATCGTACTGGGATCTATGTTCTTTCTGTATGTTCCATATTTCATAATAACTGCACATAAATAACCGCCTAATACCCAGTGCATAGATAAGAAAGGACAGAAGATATGGATCACAGGTCAAGGTCGGAAAGACAAGAATGGGGGATCCAGGATCAAATGACCACATTCCTAGCTCTGCTGTCTTATGTCCTCTACTATCCTACCTTTCAGAGCTCAGACTACAAAATGTGAGTCAAACCCATGATACCTGCTTGTTGTCTCCTCCTCCATCCATCAAACTAGGAACATCCGTGTATAAAAATGGGATGAGGGAGACCTTCAGCAATGGGCCAAGGAATATCAATAGCTTTGTCCAGGTGTCAAGAGGCCAGTATCAAAGGTTGTATTTGGGAAGGAAGAGGATTCATAACACTTACTCCCCCCCCCCTCTTCCTGGGGGCCCCTGGGTTTAGCCCCTCATGGGATAATCCACTCAGTACACATTTACTAAGCACCTTCTCAGCCTACACTCTGAAGGAAGTAGAGAAATAATTAAGATAGTATTCCTTCCCTCAGTTGATACACAATCCAGTTTTCCTACTCCTTTCCTTTCTCAATCAGCACTAGAATAGGGGGAAAGGACAGTTGCCAAATTAGATACGAAACACTTTGCCTTTCTACCTCTTCAGAATATTCATTATTATCCACTTTTTGAAACTTTACAGGTTTTAGTTTTTGTTTTTGTTTTTTGTTTTTTTAATTTGTCTTTTCAAATACCATGGACTTATTCACCCGTTTCTGGGAACCAAATTTAGCAATCAACAACACCTCTAATCTGGCCATGAATGCAAAGCGAACCTCTTCTGAGAGGCAAGATTCTGAAGCCAGATCCATCAAGACCCAAACAAAAGAAAAATACATGCATGTTGATCATGCTCCTTAAAAACATATATGTTCAAGTCTTAACTACAACAGTGCCTGCAACAAAAAGGAAGGAAGGGTATAGATATAGATATAGATATAAATATAGATATAGATGCTCTGAAATAATTCTGAGCATCCTGTGCTTAGTGGAAAAAAAAACTAGTCTAATGTCATAAGATGTATTCTTTTTATTTAACAATCTTGAAATTACACCATTAGAGAGAAGGAGAGCAGATCACAGATTCCTAGGAGCTAGGGATAGTAGAGACAAGCAAACAGACTATCAAGAGGATGTCACAAAGAGAGTCTTCGAGGTCATGGAATCACTGTCTTGCTTGCAGTGGTGGTTATATACATCTAGATATGTGATAAAATGGTTTAAAGATGTATACAAACGTTATATCAATATCAAATGTTTCATTTTGGCATTATATTGTAATTATGCAATAAATAACTATTTGGACAAAGCAGATGGAGGTCACATCAAAGATGAGACCATACTAGTTAGGAACATAACTTAAAAACCATTTGAAAAACCATTTGTGTAACTCAAAGCCATTTTCTGTGACTTGAAATAATATGATGCCTGAGGTGGCCACTAAATAGATCAAATAAGACCTAAGCCTCAGAAGCAATACCCTGGCAGGTCACTGGGCAGCTCAGATAAGAGCTAGGCTTAGGACAGGCCTTGATATGCTAATGACCTACCCCCAAGGTGCTAGAGAACCAGCCTAAGGCTGTGAGTCATGACAGCACAAAGCTACTGCCCAATAAAATGAAAGGATAACTGGAACTTTGGGAAAGGTCTCTAGGATTGCTCTGTAGTGCTCCTGAGATGTGGCTTCTCTAGCCTTTGTGTTGAGACTGTGTGACCCTGCCTTTGGTGGCTGTTGAACTTCCTGCACTGTCCCTAGGCCCACATTGGCCCATCTGTCAGTGTTAGCCATTGGCCTACATTCTCAAGGACCTACTGGATCTCCATCAGTGCTAGTCTCCCACTGCCACAGCTGAAGACAGTCACAACAGACACGGATTGAGCCTGAAAGCTTCCTAAGCGTTCTCACCAAAGAAGATTCCCCTGCAGTAGCATTCTGCCCAAACAACTGTTCCCCACCTGGTGAGATTCTGCTTAGCCTTTATATTAGCATGATACTAAAAGGAAGGTTTGTGTGGATAAACCAAGCATATTAGAAAGACAATCTTTTGTGGACATCCTAACTGAGGAAAGCCTTACAGCACATAGGCCCATGCTCTCCAACATACTGAATCCAAATGCGTCCTAAATCCAATGTTTGGCTTCTTTATTTAGAGAAGGACCTTAATGATTGGAGACACGCAGAAGGTGCACCATATCACTGTGGAGACAGACTGGGGTGACATGGTGGCTGTCAAGGAAGATTAAGATTGTCTGGAGCAACCAAAGGCTGGGAAAGAGGTAGGAAATGGCTTCTCCCTCAAAGCATCCAGAGGAAATCAACCCAACCAATGCTTTTTGCCTAAGACTTCTAGTCTCAGAACTGTGTGTGAGAAGCTAACTTCCTACTGTTTTAAGCCCCAGTGTATGACAACTTGTTAGGATATAGCCAAGAAACAGTACAATGCAGACCGGCAAAAGGATAGCTTAGCTTTCGGGGACCTTCCTTCTAAATTTATGAGTTGGCCCTCAGGTGTTCATGTGCCCAGAGATGACTGTGTCCACTCACAAGCCTCTACAGCCCCTCAAATTTGGACAGTTCGAATCAACATGAGCTAAATATCAAATACACAAGAAATCCGGACTGCTTCTCTTGGTAAGTAGCATGCACGTTTTCTGCTCTAAACTAGAAACTGTGGAGCTAGCCTTCAACTGCGTCAGGTACTGGCTGTGGAAGTTCGTTACCTTGCATGAGACTCAATTTCTTATGTGTGTGATGCATGTAATGATGGCAATCACTGAACAGGCAAGAAATTATAAAGGTTAAAAGGAGCAACAAAATCCGGGTGATGGTGGCGCACGCCTTTAATCCCAGCACTTGGGAGGCAGAGGCAGGCGGATCTCTGTGAGTTCGAGACCAGCCTGGTCTACAGAGCTAGTTCCAGGACAGGCTCCAAAGCCACAGAGAAACCCTGTCTCGAAAAACCAAAAAAAAAAAAAAAAGGAGCAGCAAATGCGTGGCATTAGACACACGGCAGGCCTCCTATTCAGAGCGCAGCAAGCCTGGCCAGTGGATGGCACATTGTGCCTTCAGCGATGTGCAGGATGGACTATGTCTTCCGCACCAAGTCCCATGAGTCTCATGGTAGGAATTAGGTGGAAAAGATGCAGCAGGGAAAGAAAACAATGGAAGGCGAATTAAAGATGGAAAACCAGAAAAAGATAGGAGAAATGAAAACAATAATCCCCACACTCAGGAGACAGCCAGGCAGATCTCTGTGAATTCCAGACCATCTTGGTCTACATAATAAATTCCAGGCTAGGCAGAGCTACATAGTAAATGGGAGGAGGGAGAAGAGGGAAGGAGGAGAAGGAGAACAGATAAGGAAAAGCAGGAAAGGCCTACCATGGCATTCCCCACCCATAGCAAGGAAGGTGTCCCATCTCCAGGTCAGATAGATTCTTAGCACAGTGTGGGGCTTGCTTGCCAATGAGTGAGAAGAGACAGGCCCACACTCATGATGCAGAGGGGAATGTCAATCACTAGATAATAAAAAAAGCCCACACATCTTAGGAGCAGTGTGTAGATTATACTGAGTCAGGAACACAGGAGGAAAGATTAGAACTTCGCGATAGTGGGCAGTGGAGCTTAGTGTCACAGATTGGGACAAGAGCTAACGCACCACCTCCTCCTGTCATTCCTGTCAAGGCATCCATGTTCCTCTACCCCTATCCTGGTTCCTTAGGTGTGTGATTTCCCTCTCTGAAAACGAAGAGCTGCCTCTGGGGTCTCGAAGTTGCTTTCCAGCTTTAATGTCTGCATCTCAGAGTGGGGTCCTCTGTGACTGTGAATGAGCAGTAATTTTCCATTTGTAACTTTTTTGTCTATAAATGAAAGAATTTTGAGGTGGGGAAGGGTGCACGAGCCCCTAGCACTAATGAGGAGCTATGGACAGTTGATGGCTTGTGGGGAAGGGAGAGTCAGTTTGCTTTAAAATCTGG